GCCATCCAGTTCGATGACGATGGGTGGGGAGGGGGAGTTGCGGCTTTTGGGGCGGATGCAGAGCAGTCCGGACTTCTCTGGAGAACAGGTTAGTCCTACGCTAACTGCATAATTTTGCGTTAGGTTGGCGGCTGTTTGGATGGTGTCCTGTATGTCACCGTCACTGCCATGGGTAGACCAGAGCGTGATGTCGTCTGCGTATAGGGTATGTTTCAGATGAGGAACAGTTGCCAATTGTCGAGCTAGGGGGATGAGGGTGATATTAAACAAGAAAGGTGAGAGGACGGACCCTTGAGGGGTGCCGACACTCTTTAGTGTGTATGTTGGGTGGGTGAGCGGGCCGAACTGAAGTTCGGCCGTGCGTGCTGTGAGAAAGGCCTGAATGTAAGTGTACGTACGTGTACCCACGTTCAGTGGAGAAAGTGCTGTCAGGATCGCATGATGCTCAACGCGATCAAAGGCTTTGGATAAGTCCAGAGCCAGCACTGCCTTTGTGTGGCCAGGAATGAGCGGGTCGAAGATGTCGTGAGTGATTTGTAGCATGGCATCTTGAGTGGACAAATGGGGGCGAAAGCCAACCATGCTGTGAGGGTATAAGTGACGGTCTGTCATATGCTGTGAAAGCCTCGCCAGTACAACATGTTCGAAAAGCTTGCCCAAGCACGAAGTTAATGAGATTGGGCGAAGGTTTTGGAGTGTAAGTGGTTTGTTGGGCTTCGGTATGAACATTACTTTCGCGTGACGCCAGGACTGGGGAAGCGTTCCTTCCTTCCAACACTGGTTGAAGTACTCCGTGATGCGAGTGATCGATTTGTCATCCAGGTTGCGGAGTGTTGTGTTGGTAATCAAGTCGGCTCCGGGTGCGGATTTAGTGCGGAGAGTCAACAGCGCGGCTCTGACCTCCGCCTCGGTTATATCTGTGTCGAGTGCGGCATTCGGTTGTCCTGTGTATGAGGGAAGAGAAGTTGGTATGCCGGGCGATGTGTAGGTGTCGCGGAGTGTATCCAAAAGATCATTGGGGTTGTCCATGTGTGCGTGTATAAGCCGGGTGACGTGGTGCTGGGTAGTGGTTTTCGTGTGCGATGGGTCGAGGAGGTGTCGGAGGAGATGCCACGCCCTTTTGGTGGTCAGTCTGCCAGCAATGTCGTCGCATACCTGCCCCCAATTGGAGCGGCACAGCTCCTCCGAATGTATTTGGATTTGGGATTGTAGAGTGGCTAAGCGTTTCTTTAGCGTCCTGTTATGTTTACCCCGTTTCCACCGCTCTAGAAGGCTGTGGTAGGCATCCCATAGGTGAGCGAGTCGGTTGTCTAGTGTTGGAGTGTCTGTGGTGGTTTCAATTAGTTGCGTGTGATGTTGAATGTCAGTCTGAAGAGATTCCACCCAGTCGTTGATGTCGGTTATGGGATTGTCTGCGCGGGTGGTACGCGCAGCACGCAGAGCGTCCCACTTAATGAGTTTGTGTGTCATGTATGTGTGCCGGGGTGGTTTGAACGGGACAGTGACTTGTATAATGTAGTGATCACTGCCCAGTGTGTGCTGTGTTCTCGTCCATGTGACAGTACGGAGGGAGCGACTAAGCACCAGATCCGGACTAGTGTCCATACTGACACTGTTGCCTATGCGTGTAGGTGCCTGAAAGTTGTTGTGGACGGAGAGTTGGAGGTTCTGCATGAGCAGCCAAAGCCTGCGACCTCTATGTGTAGTTGTTTTGTATCCCCAGTCAGTATGTTTACTGTTGAGATCGCCGCCGATTAGCAAGGGATGTTTCCCCGCCAGTCGATGCAGCTCCCGGAAGAGGGAATCCAGCGAGGCCATCGGTTGGGATGGGGGGTGGTAAATGTTGGCAATAAATATGGAGGGGATGGTATGTGTGTGGTGGATAATTTCTGTTATTACACAGGGTGTGTCTGATGTGATGTAATGTGTCTTGTATGTGAGAGCGCGGTGCACAAGGGTAGACGCTCTGGGTGCGTTTGTGGTGTCAGAGTGTGTGGAGCTGTAACTAGGAAGTGTGGCCTGTGTGGCAGTATCTTGGAGAAGAAGGACTTGGGGCGTTGGGGAGAGAGTAGGAAGTAGAAGCTGCAGGGGCGCGCGCTTGCCCCGAAAGCCACGGCAGTTCCATGTTATGATATGAATGGAATTATTATTGGCCCGCACTGCCATAATGGAGCGTAGGGGGATGTATGAGCGGTGTTAGACTCTCGTTAATAGAGGTGTGGGGATCCGTGGCGGCACGTTGTTCTGTGAGGGGAAAGGGGGTGGCAAGCGGAGGGAGCTGTGTGAGGCGTGTCTCTAGAAGGCAAACCATCCTCTGGAGAATAGTTTCCATACATTGTTCTATCCGTGCCTCTAATTTTGTAGTTATGTCACTGATAAGGGCGTTGAATTTACTTTCGATGCGACTTTCAAGTTCCTGGAGCTTCATGTCGAATTGGTCGGACAGATTTTTCAGCTTCGCGTTGATATCGATCGATCCGGAGGTGGGGGTTGGGGGATCAGTGCGTTGTTTTTTGGAGGGTGGAGGATGGGGAGGGATGTTAGCATACAGGGATGTTAGCCGGAATTCGAACCCGCGACTTGCCATTCTTCATATTAGCAATAGCTTATACGCCTCCTTTGTACCACAGACGGCCGTTAGATTGTGCTCTAGAAAACGGCTTAGCGATTCACTTTTCAAATGCTCCGGTTGACGAACGCGAAAAGTGGAAGTTTTTGTAAGTGGTGCGCGACTGAATAGCGCTTGATTAGCGGACGGATCGGTTGGTAGTGTGCTGCCATGACCGTAGGTAAAAGTGATCATAGAAAAATTCTCCTCTTCGCGAGTGCAAGTTTTGAAACCGGAAACGGACCACGCGGCGAAGACCTCGTGCCCGAAAGCGGCGTGAAGTCGTCTCTGTTCGCGCAATTTCAGACGACGCCTACCCACTCCGCCACGTGTGGACTTTGAGTGTTTTGCTTGCCTCTGTAGACGTCTGCGATGCGAGACGACGCCGACGCCGCGTTTCATATACGCGGTCAGCCCACACATTTTGCCGAGGCTTTCTCACCGCTGGGGCCAAGGCCCACGCTTGTCTGCGAAGAAACCTTCTGTCCCTAACGTTCCTGAAGCAGTCATTACGGCACGTAAGGTTTTACATCTAGAGAAAAGTTGACGCAGCTGGTAATGATATCTAAGTTTTAACGTCCCAAAACCAGGATAACCCACCATGGTGGTCCAGTGGTTGTGGCGCTACAATACTGACCCGTAGGTCGCGGAATCGAATTCCGACCGCCGCTGCTGCATTTTCGATGGAGGCGAAAATGCTTGAGACCTATGCACCTAGGTTTGGGTCCACGGTTGGTAAGAACCACAGGTGGTCGAGATTTCCAGAAGCCTCCACTTTTCATAATGATTCGTAGGACAGCACGGCGTGTAGAATGTTTTATAAATACGCCAGAGGAAACTCTGGCGCTGTAGTGTCTATGGGAGCTGCTACGCAAGGTGCTTCAGCGAGTGTGGGAGTGAATGGTAGTACACGGATTTGCCTGATACTCGTACTTTCGGCTCCATTTGGCCACGCGTGGCTTGGAGCTGCTTTGTCACGAAACGACGAACGGCAATTGTTCAGCAGTTGCACTTCAACATCTCTAACTTTTAGGCTCACCCATTCAAATCGGGTCACTAAGTTCAAAACGGTAAGTTCTATCAATCGAAACAAAACCAAGACACTGCAATAGACAAAGCCACACGTGCATTTGAAGCCCGCAAGCACGAAGACTAGGCAAAACCTGGTGCCACCCATAATTCACATGGTCGCTGAACTGTATATCGCAACGCCAGGGTCCCCTCTAGTTAATTTAGGAAACTCTATGCTACGACTGACTTTTAATGACTTTTAGAAGCGAACGTGTTGAATGTTCATAAAGAGGATGGTATAGTCGCATTTTGATGTCACTCCCGCTGGAGTCTACTCTATGCTCTGGATACAATGCAATAAACGCTGGCATCATTTCTCTAATATGGGAATATTTATCTAGAATAGTTCGGCTGTGTAATGTATCGAGAATCATATTCGATAGCCCCTGCACAAGTTTGTTCGAAACTTTCGTTTTCCGCCGTAATCAGAACTTTATGCAGCAGGTAATTGCCCTTATATACGGTTCAATCAAGCTGTTCCATATCGAATTTACACACTCTGTACGATTTCACCTTTTCTTTCTGCACGGAACGTTCGTTATGAACTTCTTGCAGCTGGGCAAGTGGGTCAAGATAGGTTCACGTGTCTATAGACCATTTTCATAGTCCGCAAGCGGCTTCCCTGAGCTTCATCTTGATGGCGGCACATGTTGTCCAATTGAAAACGAGGTGATTGTTGCGCGCATAGAGTTTCCTAAAATTAACTAGAGGGGACTCTGGTGCTGCGATCGTTCAGCGACCATGGGAATGATGGGTAGTACACACGTTTGCCTAGAATCGTACTTGTGGCTTACGGTTTATTGCTGTGTTTCGGTTTTGTTTTGAAAGAAATATTCAACCTTTTTGAACTTCGTGACCTGATTTGGAAAGGAAAGTCTAAAAAATAAGGTTTTGAAGCGCAACCGCTGAACATTTGCCGATTTTTGTTTCGTGGGTAAACAGCTCCACGCCGCACGATCACACACGGAGCCAGAAGCAGGCCAGAAGTACGAAGATTAGACAAATGTGCGTACTACCCATCATTCCCATGCTCGCTGAAGCGCCGTGCGTTGCAGCTCCCATAGACACTAGCGCCAGAGTTCCCTCTATAGTGTATATTAGGAAACTCTACGGTTGCACGTACTGGGGCTTGTCTAATATGCCTGATTAGTGTCGAGAGAGCCGATTCTACATTTCCTACGTCATAGCGCAAGCAGACTGCTCTTGAACACGCTGTTTGCAGTAAGTGACCAGCCGCCATATAGTTGGGCACACTTCATAGCAGGAAATGTAGCTTTAGAGATATGAAAAAGGGTGCAGTGGCCTATATGGCGTCACGTACGGTGCGGCGGCGGTGTTCTCCCGCATGGCTCGGTAGGCTCGCGCGGCCTCCTGCTTCTTCTTCAGCTCCTTGTGGCGCATCAGGGCGTCGCGGTTCTGCTCGATCTGCATATGCAGCTGCTGCTTGTCGCTCGGGATCATGCCGCTGCCAACCTCGCCCTGCAGGACGTCGCAGTAGTTACTGTTTACGCACAGGCATACTTGTACTGCCGTCTATCTAGTCTGCTCTGTTGCCGCCGCATTTCCGACAGGCACATATCGACTAACCCATTCCCAATTCTTACTTACAATCGACCGAATGTGACATGATGAAAGAATGAACCACTCAAAAGGACGAACGTAATAGATACGGTCACTACTGGTTGCAAATGGCCTTTTCGCCCTCTTTACCTTCTCCACATGTGTATCACAATCACTGTAATACACTTGAAACATAATTAACGTCCCTTATACCTTTCTTGGCTAGTTTTAATCAAGGTTTGCTTCAATGTTACGAGCGCTTAAAATTGTCTTCATTCGTTGAAAGCAGAAATGTGGCACGCACAGCTTCTTTGTCCTTCATCCTTTTGAACCGGTTCATTTTTGAGCGTTAACTGGCCTGGACTTCAACCTTACAGTTATGCGACAAGCCTTTTTTTTTTCACATTCTCCTAAGGCAGAAGGTCGAGGAAAGGTCGAAGCCTGAAGTGATGAAAAGTTCTTGAACACGGTGTGTCACTAAAGCTCCTTGTTCGAGCTACGCCTCCTGTTCAAGTGACACCACGCGTGTGCAGGACTTCATCTCGAATTTCTCTTGTGATTGAGAAGGAATACTTTAGAAAATAAGGTTGCGCTGTTTTCTGCATTCCATAAGGGAACACAGGTGAATGTCTGAGGGTAAGTGTTAGAAAAGAGACGAAATGTGGCAAAGTGCATCTGCGACCTCCACCGACCAAGTTTGTCCCTCTATGGCGACTACCGTGGCAAGCGCATCGCGGGTACTGTGCCCGCTGTCTTCCTCACCGCTCCTCCTCCCCCGGCTGATGTGGCCGAGGAGCCGTGCTTGATGGACTTGCCGCTTCGGTGGTGGCTCTTGCGCAAGCCGTGCTTGGAGCGCGTCGACGACTTCTTCTCGAGCAGTGGGGCTGCATACGGCTGCTGCAGCTGCTGCTGCATCGGCTGCATCTGTTGCATCGGCTGCATCTGTTGCATCTGCTGCAGTTGTTGCATCTGCTGCAGCTGTTGCATCTGCTGCTGCATCTGCATTTGCTGCTGCATCTGCAGTTGCTGCTGTTCTTCCTGGCTGCTGTAGTACGGGTGACGGGCCCAGGCTTCACGGCGGGCGTCCGACTCCGCGGTCCGCGCCGAGCCGTAACTGCCCTCCCGTGCCGCCGTCTCGGCCGACGTGCGCGACCGGGGTGCACGGAGAGCGCCCTGCGGCGGCTCCTCCATGGCGTCGCGCCCTTGCCTTGTTGCCTGCTTGCGAAAGAAGGAAACGCTGCATCGTCACTCTTCGGATGAAAACAACGACAACGCTGATCATCGTTATCATCAAAAAAGGAATAGAAAATGATGACTGCCACCATCACAACAAAGACTTCCGTGGTCCCTTATGCATACGCCTAATACGAATCGATGACGAGAGGAGTATTGATCCTCCCCCGGCCCCCTGTGAAAGTTTTTTACATTTAACACTTTTCCCACTGGATCCACGATCGGCCTACCTTACACCAAACGACGATGCCGCGTGATGACGTCTCTATCTGAGCTCGCAAATTCTGGTGGTCGGTGACGCCAAAATTATGTCATGAAGTTATCATTTTTCGCATCACTCGTGTTTGACAAAGTATCGAAGGCTTCCGCATTATTCACAACTTCGACAATGTCACCAAAAGGGAGGTCAGTAGTATGTAGCGTGCATCATCGTGGCTAGAACGCACTGGCAGCTTCGAGAGTCGCGACTTTCGACAAGCTCGAAGCTCTATAGCGGCAACCGTGGAAACTAGAGGAACAGCAATTTGAAACAAGAAAATGACGATTACACCCGAGATGATCGCTTGTCGTAGCAGTACGATTACTGTACGATAGTCAGAACCGCAGCTCTGAAACAAAACAAAACAGAAAAGACCGATGGCAAGGACGAATGCAGGAAAGACAGCAGCGCTATCAGCAATAGACGCCGCGGATATGTGCAATGCCCATCATGCGTCTGGAGTGTCGCAGCTGATTTTGCAGATTCGGCGGGGAGCCAACTTTCTAGCCCCCTGCCGCGGTGGTCTATTGGCTAAGGTACTTAACTGCTGACTCGCAGGTCGCGGGATCGAATCCCGACAGCAGCGGCTTAATTTCCGATGGAGGCGGAAATGCTGTAGGCCCGTGTGCTCAGATTTGGGTACACGTTAAAGAATCCCAGGTTGTCGAAATTTCCGGAGGCCTCCACTATGGCGTCTCCCATAATCATATGGTGGTTTCGGGGAGTTAAACCCTACATATCAATCTGATTCGATGTGAACGTCGTTTAAATGTTATTAGCGCGAAGGCGCTAGACGCGTAGTTCAACGCGACATTTTACCGTCGGCGTCAGCATTCCGTGGCGTTGGGGAGTAGTGATGCAAAAAAAAATTATCATGTGGTGACGTTGCACGATAATGCCATCACGTGACATTGCAAGTGGCCGGGCAGGAACAGTGCAATCAGCTGGGAAGAGAAAGATGTCTTCCGTCTGCTACTCGTCTTAAGCGAAAAAAATAAGGGACTCAGTTTTTGTGTGCGTGTAGCTTTAAAAAGTCGTAACATTCTTACAAGAAGCGCATGTTTTTTGTACATTTTCTTTCTCGTCATCGCTTCCTTCGGTGTTGAATGAGACATCCCGGATCCCTTGCGTGACGTCGCTTGGCTCAGGAATGCTGTGACCTCCCGACCGTGAACGCATTAACGCTATTCGGTCAGGTTAGGCGAAGCACACATTGGCTAAAACGTGGTGGCACTTACACGCATTGTGCGTGTAAGTGCCGCCACGTAAGTGCCGGCAGCATCCATTCGTTCGTCCGTGCACGGGCACCATGAGATCCCGCCACCGCAAACCAGAGACAAAAAGCGTGCAGCGCGTGAGACTATAAGCGCTTGGCGATCCGCGACTGATCAAATGAACGCACGCACGATTTGATGTTCCCATAGGCATCCGAGGTGCACGCATTTCCCACGCCCTTCGTCCTGCGGGCCACTGCTGCCGGTATTCAGCAGCGTGACATGCAAGCTTACAGTCCCCGTAACACTTTAGTGGAGCACGGTGTGCTCCCGATTTCGTCGTGAGTGTTTTCGCCGTCTTCCGGGCCACTTGCGTATAACAGAACTTGTCGGCTGTGTATAGGCAATCAGATGTCGTGAAATACCGGTAGTGGTAGCTACATGTGCCCTTCAGCATGCGTGGTAATGACACCAGTGTACATATACCCCACTCTTAAGTACCGTCCGCTCATGTCCGTCTATGACAACTGTAAAGTACATGTGCCGGCTGTCCAACGAATTATTTCATAATACTCGCGAACACACGCGAAGACTGTATACGGGACAGTTGCTAGAACCGCTGTCGCTCTGTGTGGTCATTGTGTGCGTTCCGAAGCTCAGTATACCGTGGACTTAACCCGGAAATTCCGTCTTTTTAACGATTTGGTTGACGTGATGCCCGCGCGCTTCTTGTGTAAGGAATATAGTACAAAACAAAAGCGGTTTTTTTTTATTAGCAGCTGTGTTCCAATACTATTCACGGGTGACGTGTCTACCATATGCGTCTTCTTCGGTGGGCACGTGCAGGCCATATATAACCATTCCCTGCACATGCGCACCGAAGAATACACATGTGGTAGACATATATCACACGTCAATAGTGTTGGATTCTTTAATCTTTGTCCATCGCTCATTGCTTTCGACGATGTGCGTGAGACAAAACTGGAAGGCCTCATGGGTAATGTACTCGTTGAGAGTGGCTACGATGTCCTATAGCGAAAGGCGACAGCTGCGCAAAGCTTTGAATGTGACTGCACTTATTTTTGTTTAGCGTACGAGTCAATAGCTCTGCGGTTTTCGAATGGGTACTCGCGAGATCATTCAAATTAGTGGCACGTACGCAATCTAGAGTAGGTGGGTACCTAATAACGAGAAAGCATTAGAGAGAGAGAGGAACATTTTATTAAGTACATATAAGCAAAGCATCTGGGAGAAAGTACTATAGAAAGTATTATATTGCTTTCACCGCCGAGAGGCACGTTTCAGTTTCGCAAGGAGAAATACACGCAGCTAGGTCCTTGGCTTTGCGGTGCCAGGGACCGCCATTACTTGGTTTCTTTCGCTGCACCTGAATGCAAATGCGATAGCAACAAAACAACGGCCAGTCGAACGGCGTTCTTCGTGCAGTCTCTGCATGAAACACGTCCGCAGCGAGCAATGAATAATCGCTCCCTCGCGTAACCTCTTTCAAGTATGCAGCTAGGGGGGAAACAACAATCGAGCGGGCGCAATTACGCACGCATTAGCGCGCCCGCGATATATGCCCCTTCGACGTGAACTGAATAGCACGAACCGGCAAGGTCATTCACGGCCACGAAGCCGCAGAGCTTCGATGGGACCTTCCGCCGTCCTTAAGTGATACGCGGGGCTCGTTAAAACATGGTCATCCCGATCACCACCGTCCCGTGACGCCTGTTGCTTAAATCAGATGCACGAAGGCAGGCGTTGTTTTGTACTGCTATTAAAGATGGCGCCCGCGAATTTCCGAGGTTACGCGGCACAAACGCAGAGGTGAAAAGGCTATCGTCAGAGAGAAAGTACACCTTGAAGAACTATCGCATCATAAGGGTTCAAGCGAGGCTGATTTACGAAAGGTAAACGCTTGAACTACCCGACGTGGTTCCCTGAAACATTTTTCCAAGTAACCATCGAATGACATCCTTAAACGAGACTATTGTTTAACGAGCGCGCTGAAAGCTAAGCCTGGAGGGATGATACGGAAGGAAGTAGTTACGTCATGCGCGCGTCACGACCTTCAGCTCTTCGCAACGGCCTCTCACGGCGGCCTTGGTAACTATGCAGCTCACCATTGTCAAATCAACCAATGGCCGTGGACTTAGGGCATATGGCATGCTTATTTGGATACATAGCATCCATGGGCTTAGGCAGACGTATTTTTTTCGAGGGGGGGGGGAGAGGGAAGGGTGGCACTTCTTTGATATGGTCATTTTTCGCTCTGTATATTATGAAGAAAAAAATTCGTGGGGGAAGGGGGGGGGGGCACGGGCGTTACATACGCCATGGCGAAGCATTGTTTCTAGACAGAAGGAACGATTCATAGCTGATTCTGAAAATTGTAGATTCCAGTTCACGTGCTGCGCTATAATGTTAGGCTCGCGTATTTTCTATCGGCAGCGCTTTCTGACCAGGGTGAAGAAGTGTTGCAGGGCCTTTTTAATATATCATTGTGGCAGAATTTTGATGGGGGGGGGGGGGGGGCTAAAAAAGAAACAAAAACGCCAGCGTAACTTAGGGAATCAAACTTAAGCCGCGATGTCGCTCATGATGGGCGACATAATGAGCGATGTCGCTCTCATTATGACTGGCGTTTCTGTATCGTATTTAACTTTAAAAATTTGAAATTGTCAAAAGCTGCTATATATGTGTGCCTAACAAACGTGGCGCGCTGAGAGCGAGTGGTGTATGCGAGATGGCGAGCTTTCTTTTCCGTCAATACTCTTGCGTAGTTCAAGACGAGTTGGTTAATTACCAAGTGGCACAGGTCTATGCGAATTATTTCAGGGTGGTGCGAATATTCGAGTTACAAATTCTAATCGAATAATACCTAATCCAATGCCCCGCCGTGGTGGTCTAGTGGTTACAGCGCTCGACTGCTAACCCGAGGTCGCGGGATCGAATCCCGGCTGCGGCGGCCGCATTTTCGATGGAGTAGAAAACGTTGCCTTAAAGAGACGAAAACGTTGCACTTAAATCGAAGTACATGGGCCTGAGATCAGTGTATTTCGATTAAAGTGCACGTTAAAGAACCCCAGGTTGCCGAGGTTTCTGAAGTCCTACACCATGGCGTTTCTCAATCATAGGCTGGTTTCGGGACATTAAACCCCAAATATTATTAATACATTATTGAATAATTTGATCCGCATTTCTATTACCTTTCGTTCAAAGTTTCGAATAATTTGATTAGACTGATATGTAAAACGCGACAAAAACCATTAGTGCAACTTGTTGCCAGTGGGGTGGATAAAACAAACGCCCAACATCCTTAAATTAGACCTTTCGTTAAAGGTTTCACCGGTAACCTGGTTCGAAAGCAAGTGCCTGTTTAATACAAATATATTACGGCATTCCTCTCGTCATGGCTCGAGGAAAAAAAAAAAGACAGAAAACAGTCTGGGAGACTGTCGAACTGCTGTAGCGTCAGAATA